TGAAGCTGAGCACTTATGAGTAGTAAAGACAGTGTTAGGGTTAGGACCCTCTGGTGCCCTCCAACTTCTGAAATACTAGAAATGCTTCTTATATTCAGTACACAATCCATTAATATTACCCAGTTTCGGTGACTAGTCTAACATGCCTGTAGGAAAAAAAAGTGAGAGAGAATGGAGCAGACTGGATCTGAATGAAGATACTTTAAAAGAGGGAGCACTGTTGAAGGGAGAGATGTGCCTCAAGGAAGGCAAGCATTGCACAGTTAGGAAAACAGTGGCTTTCACTGTTTTTTAAACTTCATTTCCTGAAGTGCAGCATGCATGCAACTTGTCTGTCCAAAAGGAAGTAAGTAGCCTTATACAGGAGCCTGTGGTGCCACCATGTGTGAAAGCAAATTATCTTGTTAGGATAAGTGCAAGATTGCTTGCAGTCCTAAGGAAAATGTGGTAATATGGCTATAAAATATAGGAATTTAATACTGTAAGAAACTACCTTCTAGGAGGTTGTTTTTCTTCCTCCTTGTTTATGTGTCTCCACCTGCTTTTAATAAATCTTATGACTAATAATCTATCATTAGAACTACTATCTAAGAAAATAGCTGGCTTTTATCGTTGTCAGCCATTTTACTCCTGGACCTGTGTTTTAACAGCTGAAGCTATTTGGCTTTCATTTCATCAGAATCCAAAACCAAATAGTGTCTTGCTGTCTCAAGTGAAAAGGAGCAGCATGGTTGTGATTTCTCCTGGCAATGATCTGGGCACTTGTTCTATACAGCAGCAATAGAGTACCTAGGAGGCTGTGAACTTGAAAGAATATTTACTTGAGACCACAATGAATCTGAGTCATCTTAGGCCAAGTCTTTCATGTTTCCAGCTATGTATTAATAGAAACCAAAAGCTATATTTTTCTGTGTATCTTAATGAAACAAAAGAACATGTGAAAAAAAATAATCTGAGAATTATTGGAGTAAGACATGATAAACTGTATATGACCTTTCTTTCTGAAGGGGAAAAGTAGACTGAATAGCTCTGGAGCCTGTGCTCAATCAGGCAGTGTAATGAGAGAGGGTACTAAATAGACAGTCTTCTGCAACACAAGGGCTGGTACCAGATGTAAGGAGCACCCAGAATTGCTCTTGATAAAATAAATGGAACATCCTTAAGTCTTAAAATAAATGAGTCATCGCATTGGCTCTACACACACAGAGGCTCTGCAGCCATGCTGCGAAGTCTCCCACGAAACTGGGCTATTGCTGGGTCACAGGAGAAAAAGTGGTGCAAACCTTAAGAGAAAGGACATCATTTAAGAACAAATCTGAGTCTTAAGCCATTAAGACTCTAATGATAATGATATTTTAATCGAGTACTTAAGATATTACAGTGAATTGGCATCTTAACCTGATAGGTTGTTTGTAATATTTTCTTTTGGATACCTCTTATTCTTTGTCACACTTCATTTCATGGGAATCAGTGTATCTAGAGAACAGCAGGGGAGAAAGTAATTGTATTTTCAACAGGTCCCTTTAGAGCGACTATGTTTATAACATGAAGTAGAGCTTGCATGCTTTTAGCCCCCATGCTAGCACAGCTCTCCATAAATTCAACAGCTTGTTTGTCAATCACACTGAAGATACTCCAAGTGTTGTACAGTCTCCAGAAATTGTATTTCTCTAACATTTTAACCCCTGACTTCCCAGCAACAGGCTTAAAATTCTCAGAAATGGAAGTGTTCCAATTAGAAGCACAAGCACAAGTACTGAACCTGGGAATTAAGGTTAAACCAAGTGGATACCCAAAAAGCTAAACCCAGAGTTTGCTTCTGGACTTAAAAATACAGTCAAGTTCCATTTCTCATTTAATTAGATATGTTCACCAGTTCTCTCAGACCTCCTTTCTGCTCCCTGCCCCACCCCAGGGTGGGAAGGAGGCAGCAGCAGCTGTAGGAGGCATGCCAAACAACTGATGATGATTTGTCATCAAACAGCTCTGAGAGGAGGTAAATCCAAGAAAGTCTTTACAAAATGATACTGTGAGTCTGCATACTATAGAAACCAGAAAACAGCCATGGATTCTAAGTGAATCTATGTAGAAACACCATTTTGAAAAAGAAGAATGTCTTGCACAGACTTAAACCCATCTCTGCTAGCAATGAGACCTTACCTTGGCTACTGTCTGCTCAGCAATTGTGCTTGGCCGACGCTGACGAGCATCAACTCTCTGTTCCACGGGAAAGCTACTCCGATGAGATTTGAGTCTTTCCACTAGCAAGTAATAAATAGCAGCGAAGTGGTTATAACTCTTGTTCTGCAGAGACTGAAAAAGAGAAGCACAAAAGTGTGAGTACAGCCAAATATGTATTATCATTTATATTCTATGAGACCAGGCAGAAGACAGAATTGCTGGGGGGGGTGTGTGATGAACAGAGGCTATTTAAGAGGCAGTGGGGTGAGCAAATCTTCTCAATTGAGAAAGTTTTTTCAAACCAGAGTGCCGTGTCAGACAAAGAAAAGCATCAACCTTCATTTAGTGGCAAGCCAGCATTAGATAACACAGGTAAAGCTGTCTGTGGTCCCACTGTGCAATGCTTGCATGATACAGAAGCCTCCTCACTGCTAGGGATTGTTTTTTAGGAATCTTTCTGGAGGGCCATCTCTCCTCTTTTTGATTTGCCTGCTGGCACAGACAGCAGTAGGACAGAAGGGCAGCAGCACAGCATGTTTAAAATGTTTGCCCTTACTAGAGTGTGACCAAGTAAAATATAGCTCCAGTTTTGGTGTTTTGTGTTTCCCCCCCCCCTTACCACCAACTGTTGAAATAAAGAATGTTGCAAGCAACTCAAGTACTAAATTCTAGTGATAAAAACAAACCAGGAAACCTTCCACCTAGGGACAAGTATCTGTTTGAGTCTACTTTACCTCAACAGTTTTCTGTTGGTCTATTCCAAGGCTGTGCATTAGCCTTAAGACCTGTTCATTATACTCTCCAATGGAAGGCTCATTCTCCTCTCCTGGTGGATAAAGAATAGGCCTCTGTGCAGGAACTTCTATAAGCATCCACTTATGCTCCTTAATCTGAGCAATAGTTAACCGTTTGGATGGGTCTAGGACCAACATTCTTCTAATCAGATGTTCACACTCTGTTAGGAAAAAAAGAAAATTACCAACCTGCTCCCATAACAGCATGACAAGAGGAAACTGCCTTACTTCTGCTTGACTTCTCTGCTAAACGTATTTCCTTAAAACAGTCTCTCAAAACAAGGTTAAAAGTCACATTAAGGAGGACAAAACCCCAACTTCTTTAAATGCATGATATGGCTAACAGTGCCATTCCTCCTACACAGCTCCCACATGACAGTAATGGTAATATTTTATGCCTCTTTGAAGCTGCTTGTGCTGTTCCAAGTACAGAGCTAGCATTAACCAATAAAGCTTCAAATAATCTCTGTGAAGTGTGGTGGGGACTACTTAGCATCCTTCTCCAGCAGTTTGACCTAGGTTGTCCAGGCTTATAAAACAAGGGATTGGCAAAACTTAGTGTCTAAACTTATTTAATTCCACCCTAGTGGTTACAAAAGCAAAGGTAAAAATAATGTCCCTGTGGCTGTGAATAGTAGCTGGTGGATCTGCAGGCTTATCTGTTTTCATTCTAAGACCAAAGTACAGTCAGTAGCTTTAGGTGCCAGAATAATTCTAAGCACACCAAACCATTGCTGCTTTTTGCTACCACATGCTGGGCAGCACTAAAACCATACATTTTTCTTCAGATCTCAGTTGGTTTTTGGAAGATGAGGGCATGACAGATGAACATGCAGTCTGTGATAGGAGGTCAATATAAGTTCCTTTAAAGGAGCTTATCAATCTGCCATGCATTTCTAGCTGACAGTGATACTGCTACAGTACAGTAGTTACAAGTCAGTCCATTGAGGTAGTTATAACAAATAGTTTAGAGAGATATTTCTGGCTATTTATTCCTGTTTCTCTCTCCTGTTTTCACACCCTTCCCCACTCCCTGCATCACCATGTGATCAGCAAGGGGAACAGCAAACAGCCTGTGAAACAGCTGATCTACACTGCAGTCACATCAGTGACCGCAACTCACACAAAGATACCTGGATCTAGCTTGCATACCCATGTCAGCAAAGTCACAGAAACAATACAGTTCAGCACTGGCCACAAACGTGCCTAGGATGCTGAAGGGTTGCCATGATTCCATAATGGCATTGCTAAAAGCAACCAAATGCACTATAGCTACGCAGCAGTGGCTGTTTTCCAAGGTGGTATGCAGGAGTGCATGCCACCAGAAGGAAAATAGGAAGACCATAATGTTTTATACTATAGAACCCTTAACAACAGGGCTGAAAAACATATATTTAATTCACATTGAAGAAAAGCACAGAAGTAGCATATCAAAAGAGGATCTGGTTCAGGGAGATTGTTTTGAAGTAATTTGGTTTAGAGACCCTTTAATACAGGGAAGCTGAAGGACACCATCAAAATAGTGAAAAATGCCCCCACTTGTTCTTATCTGAACAGGCATGAGGGAAAGTGAAACTCAATAGATGGGGCAACTAAGTGAGGAAGAGATATCGGTCACATATAAAGTGCTAGAGACATGACAGTGAGATCCTGGCACATGAACTGGTTGTGCGCTTTTTGCTTTTGTTTAGCAGACACTGTCAAAAACCAGGAAATGCCCAATACACAACTGAGGTTTTACAGCAGTACTGCTCTCAGCATATTGTCTTTCCACATTAAAATGTCTATGGCATTGTAGGACAAAAGCTAATTGCTACACACAAATCTGCCTTTTCCCCACATCCCTGTATTTCTGTTCACAGTAGGATGAGATTTCCTCCAGCTTCCATTTAAACTCACTCTCTGCCCATGGGTACAGCCACACTGCAATCTCCAAACCTTGAGCAGGGAAATATGCGTTGATTTGCCTACCAGCAGGCTAATTGCAAAGGCTCACCTAGACTTATCTGTGTTCCTTTTGAACAGGAACGGTCTCCCATACCATAATCTAGTGTGCAGATACACCACCTTTTGCTGTATTGCAACAGAGATTATTCTAGAATTTACTCAAGATTTACTGCACCAAGAGCTTTGTTACCTTCGGACATAAAGTAAGGGATCCTGAACCTTCCTTCAAGAACTCGTTGCCTCAGTATGGGGAGTGTTGGTCCATCAAAAGGTAACGCTCCACAGACCAAAACATAAAGAACTACACCCATGCTCTGTAAGAAAGAGAATATGGCTTTCATTTTCAAACTACAAGTTAAGTTTCTGAGGTTGGCTAGCCAAATCCTGTCACAGAAAAAAAGTATCTAACCGTAGTCTGCAGAAACAGGACGTTTATACAAAAAGGAGTTGGATTTCTGAAGGTTCCCTAAACATTAAGAACATTCAGCTAACCCAAAATGGCTGGTCTTGCAGTACCTTGTGCTGATAAGCAGGTAGGCTGAAGTGTAATGGGTTAGAGACTCTGGCTGCTAGCAGGAAGCTCCACGGAGGTGACTGAATGATACCTGAAAAGTGAGTCCCAACTTCAGGTGAGAATGAGAGATACTTTTTATTAACCTCAGCCTTACTCAAACAAAACCAAACCTCAGACAGGAGCTGCTTGAAATAAGAAACTGTAACCTTTTACATTTACCAGTTTGCAAAAGCCTGGGGAAGCCCCACAGGTAACTGAACAGTCAGCTTCAGGAGAACACAGTAATTCTGCACTGCTGTGTGCAGGGCTGAGCATGAGGGATTACTTAATATGAGCCAAAGGAGACAATCTGGGCAAGAGCTCTCCTCCAACTGCCAGACTAACTTTTGAAAGCATGCAAGTTAATTGGCACTGCAAGTGGAAATAGTCTTAAAGTATATGCCAGAAAAATGTACCACAGTAGATGAAATAAGCACACCAGACCCTCGTGCCAATCAGGTGGCATAAGATAGCCACAGCACTGGATTTCTCAAGGGGAAAGAAGCAGGTGGTCACTTAAAACTTTGGAAATACAGATAAGTTTTAAAGTGAAAAATTAATTTTAAAAAGTCATTTCTCTTCTTCCCTTAACCTGCCAAAAACTACATTGTGGATTGTTGCATTCTTCCTGCAAGCTTCGTACCTTCAGCAGGCTTATTCTGTGACTGGATGTTGTAAAGAGATAAAGAATCCTTAAGTCATCTCAGAAGTAAAGAAGACTATTATTTTTATGCTAAACACACGTGTGCTTCTCTTCATGGGCAGGCAGATTCTCTTAACAGTTTAGAACCTTATATATTTAAAGATCATCTACCAGAGTTCAGAGATTCACTTGTGATTCAAACAGTGTCTGTGCTACTTGAAAAAGCAAGTGTAGTTGAGGTCTGCTGTGTGCATATTTACCAGTTACTAAAGGTTCAGAAAGACTGTAGCATTTTTTAAATCCAGCTGCATATATGTGTGTGCATATGATTCATGCGCACACACCATCATATGTACCTAAAAGCATGGTTCTTATTTATACTGTTAATACAATTAGATTAATTTAAATCTGATTAGCAGCTGAAAGGTGACTTTCCATGTTTGTGTAACAGGCTCTGGTCAAAATGTCAGTGCCTGTGTTGTAATGCTGCATGCAATATTATCACTGCAAACCCGATGCCAGAGCAGGGACTGCCAAATTGAACTGTCTCTGGTTGCTTTAGGATATGAATCTATTATTGCAAGTACCAGGATACTAAAACCAACAACCTCCCCCCCCTCCAACTGAACAAAAAAATAGAAAAATCAATCCCAAACAAAACCAGATTAGGAATGAAAGCCAGTCTCTGAGAATGCACGAAAGGTGCACAGCACTTATTCATTTCAGTCCTTTTCCATTTCAGAAGAACGTGGGTTGTGCTCTCTGTCCTCTTCCATTAGAGCAGTAGATGTGGAGACACACTGATTCAAAACCATGCAGTTGCCTCAGTAGAAATGTTTGTGACACAAATATGCTTGTTTCCAGCTCAAAGAGCAAAGCAGTTGTTATCTCTCCTGTGTTTCAGTGGCTCAGAATCCTTTTAACCTCATGAAGAACTTACAAGCTTACAAATTCAATTCCCACTTAGCACAGAAGATACTAAATGCACTGAAAAAAGTGAAGTTCATGCATTCAGTCAGGAGACCTTTCAGAGGAGTTATAGCTTTTCGTCTAGTGGCCTAACATATACCTACAGTGTATATTTAATAGACACCTGGAAAGGTAACTTCATTTCCATTCTATGTTAAGAGGCATTTTTTGACACCCAAGAAAAAAAGCTGAAGTGGAACAACTTGTCTAAAGCTTAAGAAATATAAAAAATGATTCCTTTGTTCCAGTTTCCTAAAAGTTTATGTGAATCTGGTTAAAAAAAGAATAATGATACCCAGATATCCAGCTGGGGTCCCTCGTATTGCTGTCCTTCAAAGACTTCCGGGGCTGCATATGGTGGGCTTCCACACCATGTCGTCAGAGGCTCACCACTCTTATAGAAATTTCCAAACCCAAAATCTGTTGAGAAAGGGAAAGTCATTCCAAACTCTTGCTACATGACAAGGAATAATGACATGCATTAGGCCTTAAAGCCCATTTTCATTCAGGAAAGGCTCCATCACAACTCCTTTTACCCATACTCCCCCTGAAAATATTTAGTGGGATGCTAAATGTCCCATACTGCTATTTTCATGACAGCTGTGTTAATTAATAAAACACTCTGCAGAACTTCACAACCTGTAGGAGTTTTGAGGAAACTTCTACCAGTTTGCTGAATCCAAGTTTATAAACAGCTATCACTAAAACTCAACAAACTGACAATCATGCATACATATGAGCTTATTTACTTGCCAAGAGATATCTGAGATTCAGTACTGAATTGGAGATACCCACAGTTTTCGTTAGGTGCTCTCTAGCCTTGAATACACAACAAATTCTGACAACAAAAGCATCAACGTTGGAGATAGGCGAAAGGAACTCTGCCAAAAGCAACAAGCATGGGAAAACAAAGCCTTTTGCTAGGAAGGAAACTCTGCTACTGGAATTGTCTCAGCCCTTTCAAGATACAACTGAAATTTACCATCCCACAACTAAGCAGTCCTTTTAAACGTTTCTTTTTATGGCTTAATGTGGGACCAGACATGGGCCCCATAGGACTTCAGTGATAGTCACCATTTGCAATAATCCAATAGTTGAAAGCAAAATGACAGCTACTATTGCATACAGACATAAGGTCAGATAGTCTTTCTTTTAACTTCCCTTGTTGCTGCTCTCCCAGGTTGCCCTTTCCACCTCTCGCAGAACAATACAGCAAACAACATTAATGTTGAGGAAGCTGGCTTAATAACTGAACTGAAACCGGCTATTTTCAACATGCAGAGTTTCAGGTGGCTGTTACCCACTCCCTAGTGCCTGTATCCTCCAGTTCCTTGTACATCCTGTCATCATTCTTGCTCCCTTTGCTTGGTTCATACATCATTTTCTTCAGCATTCTTTACTCTTCCTGCAGGTATCCACTGCAGATACCTATTCTGAATATGCTCCTTACATGACAATCCTCAGTATTTATACACAAGGCTCTTATTCATCAGGCTTTGAATAAAAGCCTTTGGAGCAGTGTTCGGATTCACCTGTTCATACCATGAATCAAAACAATTGCTCCACTGAAGTCTGGTGTTTTCTCATGGAATTCGAAGAAACCAGCATTTCTCCCTGTTGCTCCCAGCACCACCCTTACTGCTTAGACCTCTATTCCACTTGCAGTGAAGGCCACCATATATATTCTCTGTGACAACAACTGCTGGTAATACTAAAGCAACGAAGGAGAAGTTAAGGAGAGAGTTTCTTCTTAAGATAATCATGATTTTACCCTTGTAGCTAACCAGGCTCCTGCAGAGTAGTACTGCAGGCTGGTGCAACTCGAGAAATCATGTGAAAGTCAACTGTTGATAAGCAGTAATCAGGCCGTTGATTTAGTGCTATCAAGCACTGAATACCTCAGAGGCACAATACAGTGTGACACTGATCTGGTAGATGTGGCACCCTCAACAAGTTAAATGTCCAACATAAGCCCAAGGTCTCTGTATCAGCTCAGAGTCAGAAAATCAGATACCTCATCTCAGAGCAATGAACTTTTGAGTTCATTCATGAAGAGGAACCCTATTTGCCTATGCGTAAGAAGGCTCCACTGCCAGAAAGGCTATCTGAAGGTCAGAAACATGACAACCATAACTGTGTCATTCCCTGCAAGCACACAGAATACCCAGCAGTTACATGAGCAGTTACGCAGTGGCATCCTGGCACGTCACCATACTCTGGAGGTGCAAACGGCCAAGGTCAGCTCAGATTTTAAGTCAACATAGAAAACATGTTCATGCCATCCTTTCATTTCTATCCTCCTTCAGCTGTAGTAACAGAGGGGGGAAACAACAAAATCCTCTACCAAAAAACCCCCCAATCACTGTATGTCACCTGCCTTTTTCCTATCACAGCTAGACTTGTTGCGAGGGGTTTTTTGTTGTCTTTGAGGTTTTTCTTCACACATAATTGGCTTGGCAACCCTGACAATACTTCAGGAGACATGAAGCAATTTCTTCTCTCAGAAGCATTTTGCCATCTGTGTAGGTATCATTAAATCTGATCTCTCCTTTCACTTAGCTTAAATTTGTCAGGTTTTCAACATCCTCTTAGTACTGCAGATAAATATCAATATCTCTGAACAGCAGCTCCTACTCAGGTGCCACCCTCATAAATCCTTGTCTCAGATTCACAAGCCCATGTACATATATTTGTAAGCACAGCTATAGAAAGCATGACCTGCTTGGAAATTCACAAGGTGTCAATTCCTAAGAAAGTGAAACTATCCAGACTAAAGTTCGTGATTTGGTGAGCATGAACACATGGAGACCATTTCACAAAGAAACGTGAACAAATCTGAACAGCAAAAGGCAGAACAGTCTTGAAGTATGACTGATGAATGTAAGAGAAAGTTCAGGTTTATGCTGCAAGTAGGATTTGGTTTTTTAGTGTTATCTTTACAGGCTTAATTTCATAACACATAGTAGTTTTATTTATGGTTACCAAAAGTAGTGCAAGAGCAAAGACATCTTGGAACTGAATGGTATCATCCCTGCAAGGCTGTTCCCTATCTGAGCAATAGAATTACAGACCTTATGTTGAGACAATGCTTGACTGGAACAGCAATTGGCTTGCATCTGATGGTCTTGTGGCATCACAGATAATCAAGTTTTATTAGGCAAATCCATGAATGAAAGGCCTATACATTGATACTAGAAGCAGCAGCCAAGGATGCACTCTGTATAAGCACTAATACAACAGTATCAGCTGCTGGGGTTTGGGGGTAGGGACAAGCATGAGGGGAATAGACTGCAGAAAATGGCCAGCCTGGTATACTCTTCCTGTCATTGTTATGTGGATCAGTACAGAACACCTCATGAGTCTGTGTGCCTTGTCTAGGATATATGTCTTATAAACTTGGAAAAAAATCCTTTATTCTGCCTTTAATCTGCAATTCTACAACATTAATTTCTTCCATTTTATATGGGTAAAGAACACCAGGATCTTTCAGTTATGAACTTCTGCTGAAAAAAATAGCATGCATTGATGATACAAAGCACAGGAAGAGCCAGGCAGCTCCTGATTCATATTGGACTTTTTCATGTAACATAGGACTTAAAAACAGTGTTTCACATTTCAGCAAGCTGCTCTTATCTTCAGAAAACAAATTATATTCTATTGTTGGAATAATTACCTGTGCTGGGAAATCATCATTATTTGTTAGGGTACATAAATTATTACAGTTACCTTTTATTGTTTCCATTACATTTTCTACAATTTAATCTTCAAAGCACATTAATTCGTAACACCCATGAAAACCATTTCAAAGAAAAAGTTCAGGATTTAGATAGGATACAGGATGCTTGGTCCATCGGGCTTCCTCAATCTTTAATTATCGTACTGTCAGTTTAGATGTCCCACTTTTTGGAGTGTTAGAATGGCCAGGGTTCAATTAAGCACAAAACAATCACCAGTATCCCATTCTGTCCCCCCTTTCACCTTGTTCCTACTTTGCAATTGGTGATCTACCGTAATCACTCTAGATCAAAGGTAATTGTTTTCAACCTAAGAACACTGTTAAGATTTCTCATTCCAGAGAAACGGATTTTAAGACCATCACTGATGTTTAAGGGAAAAATGTGCCAGCCCTCAAAAAACCAGAATTCTGACAGGCCCAAAATTGGACTCATTACCAGAAGACTGAGATTATATAATGCAGTGATCATCCTAACATTTGCCCGAATCTGCACGTTAAAAAAAAAACCATTTGCAGCATTGTGTTCAGTTCAATAAACTCCGTGTTTGTGCAATCTGCAAATATTGGCTCTCAACATTTGTGGTATTTTCTTTCTCAATCTCATTACCCCCTTTAGAATAATCTTGATTTTAGAAGGTATAATTTTTTGAACATACATCATTTAAATGGAATCTGCTTTCCCGTTAAAAATGGAAACAGACTGAGATTTCAGACCCGTTTGCAATTTGAGAAATGGAAGCTCCCTGCCAGAGCTACTATAACTTTTGCTGTACATCTAGCAATATGAGGTAGTCTCTAATTTGTAACTCTAAAAATCCTTCAGAAGGGATACTAGCTTCAGAGCTGTAATTAATCCATTCTTCTAAAATTACCAACAGAATTCAATCTGCCTGGCTTCATAAAGCCTTATGATCTTTTGTTATAATAGTAATGTGAGCAAAGGACATTATCGAGAGAGAGGTACTGATAAAGGAAAGGTACGAGTGTGTTAGAAACAAACCTGACCCACTTCATGAACTGAATGCTGATCAGCCAGTTCTGACGTCAATGCATATTTTACTGTCCACTAGCAAGACAAACCAGCACTACAACCTACTTCAAAATAACAGTCTCTCCTACCTGATCTGGTTCAAACACAGCAGCTTTACCATCAAGACGGCATGATTTCTGCAGACATCTATAAAGTCATATTAATCTGGCAGTTTTGTGGGGCTGGAAGCATAGAGAAGCTCACTATTCCATCCTCAATTCAAAGCTGGATTTAATTTTCATAAGTGCACAGAAGTTTAACTGTGCAGACAACGAGAGAGTTTTATTTGATGACAGCATAGAACAACAGTGACCGATAAGTGAAATCCAGTTCATATGATCCCTTCTAAAAACCCCACAAGGATACAGGAACAATCCAGCTACCTACAGGGAATAACTTTGAGAAGAACAAAGAAGGTTTACCTTGCTAGTGCTAAAAACAAATCCGATGTCAAACCTGATGGAGACTGCCTGGTATGGCATTCCTTACATACAACCTTCTCAATGGACACTTGATTAATACCTTCTTTTATGTTATACATGCTAAAATCTAAGTTTGAGGCTTTTGCTCCAAACTACCTAGTATCTTCTATAAATTAACAGTCTATCAATGCTCTCACCTCAGGATATTTATGCATCTTCTCTTTCTTGTCCTCTTACTAAGACTGAAAAGAAAGATCCTTTGAATTCTATCTATTCCTTATAAAACAGTATTAATACAAAACTATTGTATTTCAGTCCAGCCTCCTCTTGTTTAAGCATAAAAGGTGGTAGTCTCATCAGCTGACAGCTTTAGGAAGACTTCTTTTTAATTTTATTCTGTATTTGACTAAAAAAAATAATGTTTTAAACAGTAAAAGCTTCAAGAAAAACCTTAGAAGCATCAGAATGAATCAAGAGGTCCACTGGAAGTTAGGAAGAGCCTGGAACGGCCAGGAGTATCTGTGTGAACTTTATAGCTGCTTGGAGTTACCAGCAAGGGACAGCCCCATGCATAGTGCTGGGGCCCAATGCATACATTGACACTCCAGAGCTTTCTATCAAAATAATTCATCAGTTACTGTGTTGTTTTTCAATTGCTTCATTTATTCAAATTAGAGTGTAATTCTAGCTATCAGAGTTGTGATCCTGGCTCCCCTTTGTTCTCCCACAGATTGAGAAATGAACCATGAGGAATATGAACCACTGGAAGAGACTGTTCTCAGGGACCTACACAGCACCAGGTAACTCCAAAATCACAGATCAACCATTCTGTGGAATTCATCATCTGTCTCCTTTACATAGAAAAAGAAAACCAACAACCCAGCAGAAATCACTACAAAAGTTTCTAGCAGTCACAACTGTCCTCCAGCTACTTTATCACCAAAGCTGGGCATAGAAATTGCATCAACCTGAGAGAGCTTGACAAATGTACACGAAAGAATCAGACCATATAAATCATTGCCAGTTAATGTGATCATTTACATACAGACCACCTGTAATTAATTTTCTGTAATACAGAGGTAGAACACAAAAAAAAAACCAAGAGAAGGAAAGAGACTGTAGTAGCTGATGGAATCTAGTAACTAAGTTATTAATGGTTTTTGTCCCTGGAGAACCTGTGCATTGAAATTCCCTGCAATGGAACAGTCCATGTCTCTAACCTTTCTTTAGTTAATGAATCTCCTGAGATGCCTCTGAAGTAGCGTTTTTGTGAGCTTGTGTCATGCTTTCACTGCAGTGTTTAGGGAGGCAGGGAACCTGCATCCCTGCAGTGCTAAAGACATCCATGAAAGGAATACTTCTGAATAAGGCCCTGCTCCAGTGCAGTTGATACCTGAGGAGCTCTGAAATCTAGCCATGCTGAATGTGACAAGCTACGGTGCAGGACACCTATGTGGAGGAAGAGGAATTAGAAGGGATAGAATGTGGTGGTAAAACTGGTGTGAAGAGTGGCAGATCAGAAGGTGGGGAAAGAATACATAGATGAAAAGTAGCACAAAAGTTCCCTTATCTTTAGTTCAGTTACTCATAGTAAGGGGGTCCATGCAACTTGCAGCCCTTAGGCACGGTATGTACTGAAGCCATTGTTCTGGTAAATGCAGTTGTATGTCAGTCATAAATTGCAGGTGCTATGACTGTCAGTAGGTGCTAGAAATAAATGCAAGTTTATCAGAAATGAGAAAGTAAAAATACACTATGAATGGTAGTGCTGATGAACTGGCTATATTAAATCTCAACGAAGTACCTAAATGCCCTATTAGTTCTCCAAATTCTGAGACATCACCACCAATTCAATGTCTTTGTTATGAGTTATTATACTTGGGTCGCTTTGTTTTGAAGTCCAGACATCATCTCCATCCCAAACTGTTTCTTTAGCTTTCTTCAAATATCAGAATGCCGTAAATAAGAGCTTATACCAGAACTGCATTTTCCCACTACAACAGTTGCAAAACCCTTTTCCTCTGATGATAGCTTTTAGTATTTTTACAATTTAACATTAATACAAAAGCCTACAGCAGAGTATATAGAAAATTAAAAGATAACCATAAAGAGTCTAATATCAAATGAAATGAAAAAGAGGCTACTGCAAAGGCTCTGCTATTAATTTATATAAAACATTAAATAATAATTTTTACAGCTTTTATGAAGCTGTAAAATTCCCACTCTGAGATGCTAAAGAGCCATGAAATACAGAGAATGTGCCAAAGAGCAGATTAATAGGCTTCCCTCTCTAGCTTTAGAGACTCTGTTTTCCACACTCTTCTCCCCCCAGAATCCCTACCTTACATTCAGATTTGACAACAAACAGTAGCCTAACACTATGAAAATCATGATTCTGGTAATCACAAAGCTGTATTTTCCTTCTCCTCAGATTTAATTTATGTATTACTTAACCTTTCTGTAAACTATTCAACCATGGGAAAAAAATGCTAGAGGTGGAAATGTGGTGGTAAAGGAACAGGGATGAATGTGTTAAATGTACATACAAGACCAAAGGTCAATACAAAAGCAAGAAACATATACAGTACTTTTCATCTGAAAGGTGAGTGCTTATTGTAAAAGACTTTGTAGATTTCACGTTCTGGTAAGATGATTTGAAAGGATTTAAAGATTTTTCCTGAGGGTGAAGTTAATCCCCAGAATTAATTGCCTAGTCTTCCCAATGTTTGCTGTAGTATTGCAGAGAAAGGGGTGAATCTTTGTGACAGATGTTAAACACTTAAAGATTTTAAAGGAAAAGTTAACACCTGTTTAAGGACCCTGTCTACATAATCCATAGACAAAAAGAGTGAATCTTTTGGAGAGCTGCTGGCACATTTAATGCTTTTCCGCAATGTTATCCTCACAGAAAAAGCAGTAGAGATTGAGATACATTTTCAGTTCATCCTTTTCAGAGATACCAGAGAAGAAGTTCAAGGGTAAAATAACCCAGCAGTGATCTGCAACTCAGAAATCATAGAAGAGTTGGGGTTGGGACTTCTCAGCCTGACTGGCTATATAGTCACACTTCCTTCTCAGAACTAGCAAGCTTACTCCTACACAAACTAGTTTCTAACAGTAGTTAGCCTTCCTTTCCTGCTCCCATATTACTGATGACTGAAATTCAACAGTCCTCCAAATTGAGCTGTTATCTAGCTTTCACATTCCAAGTGTCGCTAGGCTAAAGTCAGTATGGAAAGATTCATGGAATTGTAATGAGTTGTCAACCACCAAAATGATTTCCATTGCTAGCAACATCTGCTGTGTCTAAATTTATAATTAAAATGAAATCATGCATGCAAAAAGAATAAAATCAATAAGCTTCCATTTTGAGTTTCGTATGTCAAAAGAAGTTATTTGATTAACTCTGTTTTAACCTGAACATCTGGCAGCATTATAGACATGTTATGACACCCACAATAAATGACTATCACTCTAAAAATTATTTCCTTTTTCCTGAAAGTATAATAGAGCTAATCTGGGAATTATTTTAGCTACATATACTGTGATACCCATAATGCAAAAATATTACATGTGTTACCACTTCAATTTTCTGTACCTTAAGCACAGCAGGATATCTTGGGCTATCCAGATATTACTGGCACGGCTTTCATAAAAATATGATGTTATTAAACATCATCTACATTCTACGTACCTGCTATTTTGATGTTCATGTTGTTGTCAAGCAAAAGATTTTCAGCCTTCAGGTCACGGTGAACAATCTTCCGGCCATGGCAATACTCCACCGCTGAGAGGATCTGCCAGAATTTGCGCCTGGCCTCAGACTCGCTTAGACGGCCATGGCTGGCGAGGTAATCTGTGACAATAAAGCAGGTTTAAAAGGTGAAGACAGTAAGCAACAACCCTGAAATTAAATCATTTCTCTTAAAGTAATTAGCACCAGGAAACTCAAAAACTATCTCAGCCAATCCCAGCTTCCAAGCCGTTATTCTCTCACCCTGCCCTCTAAAAGAGTAGAAAAAGGGATAACAAAAAGCTGCTGTGTAACAAAACTCTATTCTCAGTTCCTTCTTTTATAGTTACCCAACTATTCCGATAAATATTTTCATGTAACTAATGTTATATGAAATATATGTTATATATGGTACTCCTGCAGAACGGTGAATGCTTGGAATAACTGGCTTTACTGTCATGAGGTTCTTTAAGCTTTAGCTGCTGTCAGTTCATGTAAGCTTCACACCACGCTTCCCCCTCTGAAGCCTCAACAGAGGCTGTGTGGTAGCTAAAAGTATTTTTTCCTCTGGTAATATATCAAGTATCTATAAGGTATTTATCCTGACCTCTCTCTTGTCTTCACTGCATCACAAGCAGAGAGAACATTTTGTTTTCATATTCAGTTATGTTGTAAAAACTAATGTTAGCCCTGAAACAAGTGATAGCTCTGAAAATGAAGACTTCATTTATCCTCAGGAACAAAAACAAGCAAAACAGCAGCTGTGAGAGTGTTGACAGAGCGAGCTTCTATAGCCAATTATATTCTTTCTCTTATAAGGCATGAAATCAAAGAATGAACTGTTAGGATGGTTTCAGAATTGTCTTCAACATCCTGCAAGGAATATAGTTAATGGCCAAGATGCAACAATATAGATGCTGTACCCAGTAACCACAGGCAAGGGCTGAGCATATATACACCTAGCACTCTCCAACCACTTGCTGCATCACAACTAGTGCTAAAGTTAAACAAAAAGCAGTGAGCGAAAACTGAACTGCTAGAGCTGCTGCCAGCCCTGCCTAATTATCAATAAAAGACAAAGTCCCATGAACAGGAATCATCATTTACAGACCAGCTGACACAAACATTTCTGTCTGACTTCAGTTAACAGGTTAAAACAGCTGCTTCCGCAAGGTGAAAAGGGAATATGATGTTATGGAGGTTTTGAGCCTACTTCTGTTTGTTTATAAGGATCCTTGAACATTTCATAAGTAAAATGATTAATTCTATCTTCTATACTATTATATTATCTCAGTGACCCTGGATTTGTTAGGGTACAGGGGTTCTGTTAATAAAATATCATTTATGGGCTTTATAGATGCTTTGCAATATTTTCATTTAAGCTTTTCTGCTTTCTTTACAATAAGCACAGAAGGACTGAGCTTTAAACTGTACTTTAAATACACTCTAAATCTGATAATATGCTTCCAGTAAAATTTTGCTGATTGTGTACTTCCACCTCATTGTTACTACAGATAAAGACAAAAAAATACATTGTTCAGGAGGAAGGGGCACAGATACACCAGCACACCCCGAGGATTTTTGTAGTTATTCAGGAAAGAAGGTATTTTTTATTGTAACATATAAAACCAACCACTTTACTGACCTTGCATTATTATACATCCTGAGTTCTCTGCAGCCACTTGGGTCAGTAGACTACGTTACCATTACGTGCTCCAGTGTCATATTGATTGTCAAAGTGAATTCTGAATTAGTTTTTCACTCATGCAGTTTAAATAAGTAAATGCAATCATTAACATACCATCTTCCTAGCATGTTCAGTAAAACAGGCTTATTTCAAAGATATTTTATGGAAGGGTCATTTAGGAAAAAGTTCTGTACTCCATTAGCAAGGAAACAACTTTGTTTTACTTGTGGCAGGATTGAAAGGATTTCATGCACTGCTGCTACTGCCATGCAAGCACAAAGGTGGCTGCTCCCGAACAATATGAAGTGGCAGACTAGGGACCTCAGTTGCAGTACACTCATTTCAGCCCTCTTAAGTGAAGCACATTAGACCTGATCTCTGGATCCTGCATATCTGAAAACTCTCCTCAGAGCTTCTAACACACCTAAGTCTTAATACACTTCAGATGATTTAACTTGGCAAAGCATAAGAATAAACAAAAGCGTGGCAGTAAGGGGAGATCATAATATTTGCAAGCTAAATATCATTCAGTCACAGAGTGACTGATAGATCATATGATATCAAGGTGAAGTCAGATGTCAAAGGCACAAACTAAATTACAGTGAATGCAAGCCAGCTCTTTAAGCTGTTAATCTGTAATTTGTTAGCAATGCAGCAAACAAGTTAATGAAACCAAACTCGTCATTTGCTTTTATGGATCCAGTCTGTCAGGACTTATTTAAAGATTCCAAACCACTTTGGCCTTAAGTATTGCACCAAATCTAGTAGTCTTCATAGAATAGGTCATTTAGTCTGAAATACACCTCTTTCTCTCCTGGAGAACTAGAGCATACCACAATCTATCTAAATACGTGACGCTACATGCAAAGATACTGTTTGCACATGAACTAGTTTACAAATAGGAAAGGCTGGGATACAGGCATCATGGCAGGCTCTGGGTGACAGAAACCACTTTAAGCCAGCTGAAGTTTGCTAGAGACATTCTGCCACACAGCTGGAATCTGGACACTGTTTGAATATGCGTATATATACCTGTGAAGCTAAGAACCACGATTCTTTAGTTTTTACTGCAGGTACCTAGAGCAAAGACACCATCATACCTTGCAAAGACTTAAAGGTAGCAAAGCTACCTATGCTTTCATAAAGATACCTTTTGACAAATCTTAAGCCCATGTCATACCCTCTGGCTGTGTGTTTCTACGGTAGGTTTTTCTGCCATTTTTCTATAATTAAATAGAAATCAGACACTATCTTAGATTCAGCTGGATCCACAGCAGAAAGCAGCAGGACTTTTGTGACAAGGCAGCTTCCTGTCCAGCCTCCTCAGTAGTCCAAAGTACATTCATTTCCTGGACAGTCAAAAGCTTAAGATGTATTTACTTCAGAACACATGACTGAGACATTGTCTGGCAAACCCAGTGGTCAACGCTAAGTATGGTTCTTCATTTAGGTAGACAGTGGTACGCATCTTAAGTTTGGTATGTTAAGGCTTTTTAAGGAGTACATACCAAAACAAGCACAATGAAAGATAATGAAGATGACTGTTGTGGTTTAAGCACAACCCAGGACAATGATTAAGGGATTGGAGAGATTGCCATACAAGGGGAGGCTAAAAGAGCTGTAGGTGTTCAGGCTGGGGAAGACAAGGTGTAGAAGGGAATCTTATTGCGTGCATAAATACTTGACAGGAGGAAGACAACTGAGCTACTTTTCTCAGCAAAGGTATCCAACTGAAACAGGAAATTTAATTTAAACCCATGAAAAAGTCTGTTTCTGTGCAGGTGGTCAAATGCTGGAACAGGTTGGCTAGAGATGGTAGCCTCCATCCACAGTCCTGAGCAACCTGCTCTGGTTTGACTTGCTCTGAGCTGCAGGACTGGATTAGACATTCCCTACAAATCCCTTTTGACC